TCTTGAAACGGGGAGGGTACATCACCCGCTTCAACGAAAGTAGAAGCGACGACGACTTCTACCGACCATTTTCCCGAGCTGGAGCTCGAAGAGGCCCCAGACTGAGAAGAAGGAAACCCACCCTTGGGAGGAATCTTCTACAAGGCCTTCGGGTTCTTGCACTTAAACTGCATCTGGCCGTACTCGCCACAGTTTATGCGAGCACCACGTGACCAACGGTCCCACCACACTTCTTGATCCAAGCCTGCTCTAACCCAAGCAACTATTTTGTTTGGGTTAGCGGCCTACCCTAACTCCTTTGCTGACCGCCCTTGTCGCGGCCACCTGCCTTAGTCTTTACTGCTGCGACGAGGTTGCTATCCTCAACATTCCCCTCGCTGTCTAACTCCGTTCCCTCCACAAGCTCAGGAACATCATCGATCTCAGTTTGATTCCCTTCGGAATCAACCATCATCAATCGACTACCCTTTTTCTTCCACTCTTGTGGAGTCTTCTTCTTTCTCCCGTCCGTAGAAGGGGTCTGAGCACTACCTAGTGTAGCCTCTAAATCTAGGGCCTTCTTACTGAATGTCTCAAACGTGTGATACTCTAGCCGAGGCTCGCTGGCCAGTAAGTTCTTGATGTCCGTGGGAAGACATCTCAAGAACATGGTCAATAAGACCTGTGGATTGTACTCCACTCCTGGGACGACAATCAAGCGCTCTACCGTCGTGGTAAGCTCTCTCACTGACTTGTACTTACTAGCATCAAGCTTCAGTAGCCCATCTGTGGCAATCTGTGTCTGCTGAGGGTTGTGCCATCGAGCCTCCACCAAGTCCATAAAACTCTCTAAGGTGTGGATCCCAATCACCCATGTTCCTGTCGAACCTCTTAGAAGCTACCAATCCATTTAGCCAGCGAGCTGCTGAACCCTCGTAAGTAGGATGCAACAGTAATCACTTCCTCCTCTACCAATGTCCTCTTTGCCCTCACCCACACTGGCACCGTTCTCAACCACGCGTCGAGAGCCTCATCCTTCTTGTCGCCTGAGAAGGTTGGAGGTGGTTTCAGGGGGGTCTTGGGATACCAAGGCAATCGTTGTCCTACTGGTGGGACAGGTGGCGACTGTGGTGTAGCTCCAGTCGCTGGACCAGAAGATGAAGCAGCAACAGTCTGAGATAGGGATGTTGCTGATGTACCACTTGGTGGTGGTCCAGACTGAGCGGCATAGGGGCCTGTCGTCACTGAGAATGACACCGACGGCAAGACTGCTGGCCTGATTCCTGGCCTGTGCATGGCATTCAGGATCTGGTCTAAGGTGTCCTGCATTGTATCCAATTTACTGTCCATGTATGCGTGCATGAACAGGATGCTCGCCTTAAGAATCTTTTCATTATTGCTAAGGGTCGAGTAATCTAAGCCCTCTAATGCAGCCTTGTCCGCCTTCCTACCCTCTAGTCTGACACTCATGTCTCTAATCTCTTTCTCTCTTTTAGTAGCCTGCCTGAGTTCCTCCTCTAGCCTCAAGCAAATCCACTCTACTTGCTGGAGCTCCATCTGCTCCCGGGTGTGTGGAGGCGGCGAGCTGAATTGCGAGCCCGCCATCTGACTAGTGCCAGCTCCTGACGTACTGGAGATGGACTGCGAACTAGTCGCGTTGAGTGGCATACCCAACGTCTGACCAGTGGACTGTGCAGCAGAAGTGGATGAAGAAGTAGCCATAGCTACTACGCTAGCTGCTGCTGCTGCAAACGCGCGTTCAACAGTTGTTGCTGCCACTCTCACAGTCTCTAGATTGCGGGCCCTTGCTTCGGCCCTAAGCCTTCTCTCGTCTCCTGGTAGTAGAACCTGGAACACAACGGGTATCCTACCGGTATCCCGTCGTGTCTGCCTCCTATCGTCAGATCTCTCCTCCCCACCCTCTGATCCACTCATGGGCTAGGCAGACGCTGTCTGCACTAATGTCCTCTCTGGGACCTACCGCAACATACATCTGACAGGTTCTAAAAATAAATAAAATGATAGATGTCCAGCGAGTTACCTAGACTACTAGTCAAGCGGCATCAACAGCACCTACAAAAACTGTACACGTAGTCTACCTCTATCTACGATTAGTTCTGCACAAAAGCTTTAAGAAGAACTGACTATGGTAGATTACAGTCCGACTCTAGGCTGTCTGTTAGGTGTTAGCGGTCTGTCAACCAACTAGTCAAGATAAAAATAAACTACAGTGAGCAGATGTATGCACAATGGACAATATAGTGATGTACAATTGAGTTCTCAATTGGAATCCCCTTCCCCTGTATCCAACGTACCTATGAGCATCTTCAAGTTGCGGTGCCTAAGGTGTGCAACCACGGCCCACCCCTGTGCCCAAGAAGTGTGCTTATGACCAGTCCTACCCTTTATTTACCCTCGTGTGCAACGAGCCTTACGTCTGATTGATTTGGCTGATCAAGAGGCAATTTAACAACAGCCCCCGAGAGTCCTCAGGAATTCTTTAACGTCGCAATCAGGACGACGATCACAGCCAAGGGACGGTTCAGACCCCAACCAGAAATGTTTATAGACGGTCTGGGAGCGTCTACGTAGGACTGGTCAGTCCGCACACCCCTTCTATCGGCGCAGCAAAGAGCCTCAATGGACAAAGCAGAATGGCCTGCGTGTACTACTCCCATGGGTTGGCATGGTGACCGTGACCCGTGCTTCGACTAGGGCCCTTCAGAGGCACCGCACTCTCCTGCCAGATGCGCCACCGGGAAGAATGTTGTCTCTAAAGGTAGAGCGCACACAACTGCTCACCACAGAGAGGACACTCAAGTTGGACTCACTTCCTCAGAGTAAGAAGAGATTGAGAGGGTAGATAAGGAATGGGAACAACGTACCTGGAGATAGCTGCCCCCAACCACAGATTTCTTACCAATTGGGCCAACGTGCATTTCGATGATCGGTCATTAGCCTCGGTACCACCCATAACGCAATGCAGTGCCACCTCATCCAAAATGCCATGTCAGCATACTCTCATCATCATACACACATCCACTGTCACCACAGCTCCCACGCTGTCGCCACAGCCTTCTAGCGGCTGACCTCTCCACCTAGGCCCCGCTAATCAACCAGCGCCAAAGTATCCTTACTGCACATGAAGCATCGTCAGCACAGCAAGTAACAATGTCGCCGGTGCCAGGTAAGCGGCGATCACGAACCAGTTCCGATACCAAATTGCAAGGAATATGAGTGCGAACGATATACAGAAATGCAAGTTGCGAAATCACACAGATGTCCAAGTAGTCGTGCACAATGCACCGAGAAACCATCCACATAGAGCAATACAATGAAGTAATGAGCCAATGTTCAAGCCTGTAGGCCACACCAACACAGTATCCAAAGCCGCTCCTCTCTGTCTGGCGCCCAGCGTCCCACCTACTCTGCCCTACTATCCTACCTACAGCTGGTTCACGCAACAGGCTCACTTCGACTCTCGAAGACCAATGTACACGACTGTCAACTCCATAGCCGACCTCTCTTCATGCACCAGGTACGTATCTCGTCACCCTCAATCAGACCTTGATTACCCCACACTCGCCTCCTTCCCTGAAGACCACTTGATCGCCCGGCTATGGCCGCCTGCGCCCCGCTGCCCTGCAGCGCCCCACTTCACCTCTACGCACCCCGTCAGCACCCTTGGCAGCAGCGCAGCATCAAGCGAGAGCGCAGCAGCACTTCCGCATTGCCAGCACTGGCCGAAATGCCTGGCCTGGGCTGCCTCACTTCCTTTATCGAAGTGGCAGCCTCCTGGATGTTGCGTGTGGTCTGGCTGGAAGCTTCCAGTAGCGTCCGGTTGGGCCTCAGACACTGCGCCCAGGCCCGAGACTACAGTTGAGGGCCTGGGCCCTTTACAGTTGGGCACACCCTGAGTCTCCAGACTTGGGCTGTTTGCTGCATCTGTGCAGGGCTCCCAGGCAGGTGGGTCGGCAGTACCGCTTTTGCAAAGGCCGGTGGCCTGCTTCTCAATGTATCGGCCCTGCTTTGTGTCTATGTGCCCAGGCGCAACTGTCAAGGCCTGGGCCAACTGTTTGACGCAGCAATGTGAGGCTCACGCGTCTACCCAACCAATTGGCGTGTTGCGAGAGCCTGAATACCCACTTATGGAAATGTCGAATTTTGCCTCTGACGAATATTCAGGCCCGCCTTTACTTAGGGCGGGCTACCGGCTTGCTGGGGGCCTTAGCCCAGATCATGTGATGTCTGATAGGGCCCCTTGAGGGCTTGTTCCTCACACTTTTACTGAGCAAGCTCATTCGGTGTCCAATGGGGGAGTACTTCCGAGTAAGACCCTAAAGAGCTCCCGTTAGCAAATATCATGATCTTCCCCATCTCTTGTCCTTTTTGTCCCTTTCTGCCTACGCGGTTACCCGGGCGGTTCTTGATGACTATATATTGTCCCATCTTCTTGTCCTTTTCCTCCCTTTTTGCCTACATGGTTAACCGGGCGGTTCCCAATGACTACATTCTGTCCCATCTTTATCAACTAAACGAGTGCACTTTGTCCTTCGGGACATCCGTTGAAATTGGAACGATGCAGATAAGATTAGCACAGCCCTTGCACAATGATGCCAGTCATAAAATGAGAAATGGTCGAAACAAAGGATAAAAATACAGAAGACAAACATGAAGAGCACACTAAAACCGTGCGTTTGATCATACACATATATAGTCACAGAGAAAAAGCGTAGACATTGAGAATGAGAATGGCCTGCAATGCCCTGCAGGACAGAGAGGATTCTCTCATCCCTTGCTCCCCGCCCTCCCTCTTCTCCATCCCATAGGTCTCGTCTCCATTCTGTAGATCTCGGAGGTTTTCATCATGAATTGGAATACAGAGAGAGCTGCAAGAATAGGAAGAATCAAGAAAGGGAGATGTCACTAGGTTGCGATTTGCCGACAGGCTTGAGAAGGTAGGAATCGTAGAACGAAACACAAGTTACTTGAAGAAAGACAATCAAACTTTGCTGATTTACCTGCATTGGAAACGTTCCCGAGTTATTGTCATCCTCGCCATGGATCAGCAACAGTGGCTTGTGAACCTTGTTTGCAAGCATGAAGGGGCTCATCTCGTGGTACGTGTTTGGTGCTTCCCAAAGCGTTCTTTCTTCAGACTTCATGCCACACCACCAGAAAGGAAGAATACAGCTTCATCAACGAACTCTGTGATGAGCAGACAGTAGGGATCACGATCGACAGCTTGCAAACCATAGAGAGTAAAATGGAGAAATAGGTTACATAAAATTTGAGAGAGAACAGAGAGTCAAAGACTGAACTTCAAATCATGGATAAGCAACTCTCTGATGCCAACTGCCTTCACAAAGAAGACCCAGCAAAAGTTTACAGAGCACTCGTGCAACGCGGCGACAAAGGTGCAGACCCCATCCGTGTTCAGGGTCTAGGACATAGGACTTAGGATTTGGGGGTCCAGGCTCTGGTGATATATATAGGGTGGTTTAGCTAAGAGAAGGGGGAGAACTTGGCGCGGGAAAAGGCTATTGTGAGCTTGGGGGCGCACTGGCTTTGGCTTATGTGGCCTCTTTTTTCCAATCTATTCATCAGCACTACTCTCTGGGGTGATACTACTCACAAGTTTACAATAGAAAGCACCCAAGCACACTACAAGGCAGGCACACACACACACACACAGAGAGAGAGAGAGAGAGAGAGAGAGAGAGAGAGAGAGAGAGAGAGAGAGAGAGAGAGAGAGAGAGAGAGAGAGAGNAGAGAGAGAGAGAGAGAGAGAGAGAGAGAGAGAGAGAGAGAGAGAGAGAGAGAGAGAGAACTGCCATGGAGAGAGGAAACTGCAGGGTGATTGGGAGATAGCTTCGCAGCACACCACAGAAGATTTGACTTTCTGTGACCATCAGAGGGAAAAAAACAGTGCCAATATTATTGACTCACAGACTGCATATAACAGTGTTGTAACTGCTTGAAGAACTTCCTTACACCCTACTGTCTTTGGCTGAACAGAACACACGGTGGCTGTATTTTGGGCAACTGTCAGTCTAGATACAGCGATATGGCTGGGCACTCTATTCAGGTGCAGACGGTAGTTTGCTCCTTTTGTGTGTGTTTCTTGTGCGTGCTATTTCATACGCTTTACTGCAAGGAACCGCGGCATCCGCCACAATTGAGACATCCAGCACAACTTGAAAAACACACACCAGAAATATTGCGAGTGTGTTTTGTATTCGCTAAGCACAACTCCACATCAATAGGGTGACTGCAATAAACTTTTGCTGGACTTTTGTCAGAGTTTCGCTAACGCATCAGGAGGTTGCGGGTGTGTGTGTGCATCTGTGTTCTGTGCACATTTCATCAAAGCTCACACTAAGGCATCCTATCCGATCTAAACAAAGAACTTTGTGCCGCAGAGCGCGTACAGATACTGACCTGGAAACCAAATGGCGTCAGAGTCCGATTGTAGGCTCCACTTCGAGCAATTCCACAGCAGAAGAGATCCGGAGCACGTGCAAGAAGATTTGCCGACATGAAAGCACCATACGAGTGCCCACCAATTACAATTCTTTTCGGATGAGCAACCTGCGAGAGCAACCACAAGCCATAAAAAGATTTGTATCTTTGAACACTAAACAGTAAAAACATAGGTTACCAGGGGTCGTTGAGAGTCCAGCCGTGTTGGGTACTCCAGGAGTGTAAACCCGGGCATTTTTCTTTGATTTTTCCGGTAGGGAGACCCTTTCTGCACCACCAGAAAACAGCCGAAATCCTGGCTCTGTCTTGCTTGTCACTGTTTTACGTGAGGGGAGAGGGGAAGGGGGGTATAAATAGGTCTTAAAGGGGTTTACATGGGGTTCCCTTAGTTTTTTTTTTTCCCTCTTTTTTATCTTCTATTTAAACCACCACTACCTCCGCTTCTGTTTTTGCCGACCCTGATTTTCACTGCGGACCGAGTTTTGCCGAGCTGGGCCAGTTGCATCCAAGAAGGAACAAGCAGAGTCCAATTGTAGGCTCCACTTCGAGCAATTCCACAGCAGAAGAGATCCGGAGCACGTGCAAGAAGATTTGCCGACATGAAAGCACCCCACCAATTACAATTCATTTCGGATGAGCAACCTGCGAGAGCAACCACAAGTCATAAAAAGATTTGTATCTTTGAACACTAAACAATAAACACATAGGTTACCAGGGGTCGTTGAGAGTCCAGCCGCGTTGGGTACCCCAGGAGTGTAAACCCGGGCATTTTTCTTTGATTTTTCCGGTGGGGGGGGCCTTTCTGCACCACCAGGAAACAGCCGAAATCCTGGCTCTTTCTTGCTTGCCACTGTTGTATGTGAGGGGAGCGGGGAAGGGGGGTATAAATAGGTCTTAAAGGGGTTTACATGGGGTTCCCTTAGTTTGTTTTTTTTTCCTGTTTTATCTTCTATTTAAACCACCACTACCTCCGCTTCTGTTTTTGGCGACCCTGATTTTCACTGCGGACCGAGTTTTGCCGAGCTGGGGCAGTTGCAGAACAAGGAAACAAAAAAAAAAGAAGATGAAGAAAAAAAACCCTTCTCCGACGCTGTGATAACCATCAGATATATTCTATGAGGTGCTAGTGTGCTGTGCCCTCAGCAAGGGTGTGTGTACGACAAACAACAGATAAAGAAGAGGGGGGAAAAAAACATCCCTTATGCTCTGATTGAGGGCGGACACAGGATGCTACAGCACTAGTGTGAGTATGAGGTAAGTGAGACAGTTACCTGCCACGTGTGGAATATGCCCTGCCTGGCTGGCAGGGCACTACAAGGACATGAAAACAAGAGAGAAAAAAAGCAACAGCAATCATGTTCCTCACATAGTGGCCAGTGTTATGATCCTGGCCAATTTCAAAGTACACATTCATGAGAAAGCACAATGCCATCCAATTGCAAAAAGAAATGAATGAACTTGAGAGGGGAGAGAGGAAGAGAAGAAGAAGAAGAAGAAGATAGAAAGAAGAAGAAGATGTACACCAGCAAAGAACAATGATAATTCCCTTCATCTCGCCAGCCACTCTCCTCCTTTCCTCCTCCCCTCTTATTCAAACAATAAATATTAAGAATAATCATTCAATAATGTTGAATGGATGAATCAGAATCAATGTCCGAATCCCTCTTCTACTGCAGGCACAATATGAGGTCCACCATAGCCATGGCCACCCTTCTCCTTCCTCTTTCTGAAGGCCGAGGCTATAGCGGACTGCTAGGGCCCTGCCCTGATGTGCAAAAGACAACTCAAAGCAGCTGACTCTACCTCGAAGCTTCTTGGTGTAGCTCAACCCCAACTGGGGCCTTTCGGATGCAGCGCCCTCCAAGGTGATGAAGATGGCGTCCACCATTGCCAGGTAAGTACCTCTGGTGTTCACCCTTCCTAGTCCTCGTCTTCCTCCTCCCCCAGCCCATGCTCCTGCAGCACAGCCGAGGTGGGAAGCAGGGCGCTCCTTCCTCCCCAGCAGCGCTGCTCCAGCCGGCGCTCCAAGCAGTGTCGTCAAACTTGCACACCGTAGAATGAGGAGGAGCTCTTTGCTCCTCCGGGAGATATAGCGGCTTGCTTGCCTATTGGGTGGTGACTTCCAGGCAGCGCGACCTCCAAGCAACCGGTACCTCCTCCCTTTCGAAGGGAAACATCATTGCGGACTTGCCCATACAGGCCCTAGACTCAGACTACTTGGACTGGTACCCGCCTGGACCTAGCCTACAACTACTGGGCCTCTAAAAATGCCAAGTTTGTCTTCTTCTGCTCGGAAAGAGTACCCCACACATCTACCGCTACTTGGTGGGGTACCGGCCTACCTGCTACTTGAGTATTTTTCCGCTGTGTCGCGGGCCTCTTTCCCCGTCACTCCAGTGTTTTCCCTGCTGCAACCCTCAATGTCACGCCCACAGGTAAGTACCAGCCCTTCAGGCCTTCCGAACGAACAAGTGCCCTTGCAGGTCACACACACACTCGAACCAACAAGCACTCAGACAGGCACGCAGGCCAGCAAGCACGCACACACACAGACTTAGAAAACTCAGCAACAATCGGGAAACTCCGCAAGGCATACATTCCATTGGCAAAACTCAGAAATCAGTTGTGTGTCTCAGTCCGCAATTTTGCGGGTTGTTACACCAGATACATTCCTCAAAGCACTGGCGTAACTTCCACCTTCGTGAGGTGTGAGCAAAGCATCACAACACGACGTTAGTCAACAAGAGAGAGTATAGCATTGGAGGAAACTGATAGACAATGAGAGTGGAGAAGGAAACACAGAAGCGACGACACACATGTCCCCAACGCAACTTATTTAACTCGGACATGGCGTTTGACCCTACCGGTTTCATCTGGCCGCCAACCAGGATCATCGGGGGTCTTAAGTCGGTGCGACGTAAGGCGGCCCAAGGTCGTGTGGGCGCGCCAGGAAGCTATGCGGTGACATTAGGGGTGTACGCTGGATGATGAGAGCTCGCTGATGTGGCATTTAAGCTGAGGTGGAACTGCATTTTGCTGTTGGTTGTGCCGAGGCAAAGACCGGTCATCATAAATGCACATCGGGTTGCCGGTGAGAAATCTGTGGTTGGGGGCAGCATTATGAGGTACGTTGCTTCCTTCCTTATCTACCCTTTTCATTGCTTCTTACCGTGAGGAAGCGAGTTCTGTCTTGAGAGTCCTCTCAATGTGAGGTGTCGCGAGCGCTCAACCTTGAGAGTCGACATTCTTCCCGGGCAGCAAGCTCATGGGAGACGGTGTCGGGACCTGTGGGTCCCGAATAACGTCCCGACACTCGAGAGTCTATATATCGTCACAAACAGAACTGCCCGGTAAACCGTAGGCAGAGAGAGAGAAGAAGACAACAAACGAGGGGCTGTGACAAACTGTTTCGTCGGAGTTTCACCGACTCATCAGGAGGCTGAACCCTCAACAGTCTGCAGAATCCCCTCACTGATTACACTGTAAGTGATAATCTACCTTAACCAAAATCAAAGTAGACTTTCACTCACCCACACCAGATGGAAAACTCTACAGACTGTCGGTTCACACCCCATCACAAGCCAGCAAAACATCCACGAAACCAAGAAAGGTCTGTCACAGCAAAAAAATACACTCCAGACACACCGCTGGCATAGCCAAGTTGTGCACGATAGAGAAATCTGGAGAAAGGAGACCAGAGAGAGAGAAAGACAAAGGATTAGGACGGGACTGCACGAAGGAATGATGCCCTGGACTAAATACCACAGGGAGAAAAAACCGGCAACGACAAGCAAGTAGTGACAGGACATGGGCGCGTAGGGGCATAGCATGGGGCCAGGAGGGCCATTAGAAGTCGGTGTGAGAAGGACCCAAGGGGCCATTAACTTAGCAAGCGCGGCACGATGGATGACAAGAGAATAGGGAAGCTGAGAGATGGACGGCCCTAGTGGTCGCACGACACTAGAAAATAAAGGCCCAACATGGGGGCCACCTACGACAATTAGCGGAAGCCACGGATTGGAGGCCCCGTGGCCGGAGAAGCCGACGCGTGCAGGGCCCGAGAAAAGACAAGAAGAAGGGGTCACCGAAGGATGGTAGACGCCAAAAGAACATGGGACACCTCGAGGAAAGGCACCGAGGACCGCATGAGACTTAGTGAAAATAATGGTATCCGGGACAAAATATGAAGGGAACCACCGATGGGACAAAGTGTCGGGGACCACCGACGGGACAAAGTGTCGGGACCACCGACGAGACAAAGTATCGGGGACCACCAGGCGGGACAAGTACCAAGGACTAGCGCGGGACAAGTGGCGGGGACATGAGAAGGTCTCGAGAGAAACGGCAGAGCGGCATGAGGGAAAAATAATTAAAGAGAGATGCACCGTTAAGATCTCGATCTTAACGGCCAAGAATATTAGCAGCACTAGTGCAAGCACTAGTGGGAGCAAACGGGGAGACCAATAGAAAAGAGAAAGTACAGAAACATGAGGGAGGCATGGGAGCAATCCGAAAAATTTCGGATCAGCCTCCCTCAAGAAAATGGAGTCGAAAGAGACTCCATGTGAAAAATAGGCCTCCGGGAGAAAATCGGAGTACGAGGGGCTACTACGTGAGAGAAATAGAGATAAAAGGATGTTCCCATGGGCATGTGGGAGCCACAGTTGCAGTCCAAGATATAACGGACTGCACCATGGGCATAGGGAGGGCCAAAACTAAGAGCAAGGGCCTAGAAAATGGCCTTAACGGCCACTTGACAGTTGGCATGCTAAAAAAAGAAAGAAAAAGAAAAAAGAACTGTGGGAGAATAAGACAAAAGGAGTGAGAGGGAGGGAGTGAGTTCGCCGTCAGTAGGGACTGTCACACGTAGAGACTAGCAGGTCCCTACTGTCCAAAAAATGAGAAAAAAAAAGAAAAGAAAAGAGAAAAGGGTCACTTGGGGCGATACATCCGTGACCAGATACATTCTGGAATGTGGCGGTTGCAAAAAACCTTGATTTTCTCTTGATTTTGCAGAGAAAATCAAGAAAAATCAAGGCCCCATGCAACCGGGATACAACGGATTGCATTGGACTAGAGAAACACATGTTCTAGGTGCACCTGAAGCC